CAAGTCTACTAAAACTCATGTCTAATTAGATATTAATGATTCAAATTCATCATCTATAACCTCCTTCCAAAAGGCTACATATCTTGGAGTCAATGCTTCGCTTAGACTTTTAGGATCATCCTCAACATTCAACAATATGGATATTTTCTTAAGAACCTTTGTTCTATTTCCTTCGACTAAAAATACGATAGATTGAGATGAAATAAAATTAGAACCTAGAGTCTTTTCTTTTCTTACCCTTTGGCTTTTCCTTGGTTCATTAACAGTTGCTTACTGTTTTCTTTTCTTACCTTGAGAATGATTAGTAGCCAGATTAGAGAAAGGTGTTTGATCATTCTCTTTTCCAGATATTGAGTAGTCATTATAAATTTATTTTCTATAAATTCGACATCTCTAGACTCAACTATTGTATTTGAGTCTAAATTAAGCAACCTATATGCCTTTAAATTTTTTGCATATCCTACAAATATGCTTTTAATTCCTCTTGGACCTAACTTAGATCTCTTAGGATCCAATGCCTTGTAAAAGACTACACAATCCCATATTCTCAAATATGACAAATTTGGTTTTCTTCCTTTCCAAATTTCATATGGTGACACGTGTGTCTTCGTAGATGTAATTCTATTGTGTATATGGCATGCAGTAAATAATGTTTCTCCCTATAAATGTTTAGGAGTATTAGCATTAATCATCATAGAATTAATCATTTCAGCGAGTGTCCTATTTTTTTCTTTATGCCAAACCATTTTGTTGTGATATATAGGGTGCAATTCTTTGATGTACAACACCATGCTCTTCACAAAAGATATCAAATTTATGGGAAAAATATTCACCACCTCTATCACTCACAAGGCATTTAATTTTCCTTCGCTTTTGGTTTTCAACTTCAGCCTTATAACGCTTAAAACACTCAAAAGTTTCATCTTTATTAGACAATAAATAAACATAAGTGAACTTAGAACAATCATCTATAAATGTGATCAAATATCTTTTTCCTCCTCTTGTTAAAACACCATTAAATTCACATATGTCAAAATGTATTAAATCTAATAAATTTGTATTTCTTTCGGCAGTTGGAAAAGGTTTCTTAGTTATTTTCGCTTGAATACATGTTTCACGTTTATCATTGTAATCATCATTGCAAGCAATTAAACCAAGTGTGCGCACGTATTTTAAAGATCTAAAATTTACATGTACTAAACGTAAATGTCATAAATGAGAGGAAGATTCAACAATATAAACAGAAGAATTTACTTTATTATTAATACTTAGTTTGAATATCTCATCACGAGAATATCCCTTCCCAACAAACATTCCATTTTTTGACATTATTAATTTGTTGGACTCTAGAACAGTCCTTATACCGTTCTTACGTAATAAATTTGCAGACACAAGATTCTTTCTAATTTCTGAAACATGTAGTACATTAAGCAACATCAATTTCTTCCTAAAAGTAAACTGAAGTTCAACGGTTCATTTTCCTAGAACGTTAACAAAATTATGATTCCCCATTAAAATGTCTTGATTGTCCGTTGATGCTTCATATATCTTGAATTGTGTCTTATCATTGCACACATGTATAGTAGCCCCTGGGTCAAGCCACCAATCAGATGACTTTATTGCCATTGCCATATTTAGTTCGGTAATCATGCCAATATGCATCATTGATACAATTGCAACAATGTTATCAATTCCAGAATTTTCCACCATATTTGCGATATTGGTCTTATTGGCATATTCCTCACTTACTTTTCTATGTTTACAATCACGAATGTGATGGCCTTTCTTTCCACAATGGTAGCATACACCATTTCCATTCTTTTAATTGTTGTTGGAATTGATCTTCTTAAACTTCCCTTTGTCAATTTTGACTTTGAAGTTCTTTTTGTATTTGTTTCCTTTGACAATGTGAATTTTGGAGAAATCTTGATTTGAAAAATTCTTATCACGATTTCGAATTTCTTCTTCAATTTGAATACCTTTTTGCAAATCCTCCAAACTAATATCTTTCACCATGTGCGGAAATTTCTTTCTATAATTATTTCATGTTTGGGGTAATTTTGCCATAATAGCCTCAACTATCACAGGATCCGGAATAACCATTTTAAGTTCACGAAGCTTTGAGACCAAGACCAATAATTCATGAACTTGGTCTAGGATGGGTTTGTTATCAAACATAAAGAACTCATAATATTTAAACATAAAAAATTTATTAGTACCTATTTTCTCCGTTGTGTACTTGTGTTCAAGTGCTTCCCAAATTTCCTTTGGAGATTGAATGTGTGTGTACAGGTCATATAAGCGATCAAATAATGCGCCTAAGATGTGTCCTCGACATACCAATTCATCTTCTTTATGCTTCTTTCGAATAATCCGAATGATGATTTTAAGGTACGACTTGAATCATTTCTTTAAAGTGTTATTTGTCCCCACTTGAATGAGTTTGCTAAAGGGTTCTTGGCAAATCACTTCCAGGATACAACAAAGTATGGAATATTCGATTAGCAAAACCGAATTGTATTCCCTGTATGATTGTGATGGAGAGAGAAGAGAAAACAAAGAAATTGTGTAGACAACAAATTTCTGAATGAATCTTCTCTTATGCCAATGTTACCAATATACATAGAGTATTACACCAATTAATATGTTATAAAGCATGTGGTCAGATACCCAGCCAATGGGTATGTCTGTTAGCAACAATGAAAAGCTGCAATGCTTCAAATTGAAAAGCTGTAATTATTGGGCAAAGAACCCAACTCTTTTCTGCCAATACGAAACGCACGCATATACATATGCCTATTACACACACACACACACACACACACATATATATATATATATATATATTATTCTTGAAATATCCTACTAAAATTAGGAGTATAAAATACTTCGCAGCGCTTGGAATTTTTGATATGCAACATACCCACAAATAATCTTACTCTTATTGGTTTGCAGTTCACTAGTGATAAATTGTAAAGGTGTCATGCTCTATTTCCTTTCTCTCTTCTACGAACCTTCTCTCCTAAGAACCCAAACTCTAGTTGATTGTAATCTTAGGAGCCTCCAGCCCTTTGCTCCGACTTGGGCTGGCGGCAGCCTCTCAACCCTCCCCTTTCCTATTACTAGACCCTTCCCCATCCTCCACCTCTTCTAACCCCTTCAAAGTCGCCTCACCTCCTATTCCCTGAATTTTTTTAGCTTTTTGTTCTTCCGGTGATTCTCCTACCTTTCCCTTCTAAGGTACTACCTAGCACCTCCTCTCCCCCATCTTTTTGTGGGCAACCATTTTTCTAGGATAGTGCTACCCACACACTTCTTTTTAGTTTATATCCTTTGATCTTATTCAATTCATTCAATCCGACAGTCAGAATTTGAGAGGGGTGTGTGGATAGCACACTCATTTTTCAATGGCTTTGTTTGAAACCCCACCCCAAATTCGTTATCTACCTTCCTCCATCTCAATCAAACTCACAAATAATCAAACTCAACTTTAACCGTGGATGTTGTCGTGGGTGTCGCTCATCCTCCTTCTAGTCTTCGTCAAAATGGGTCACGTCAAGGCCTTCTCCTCCAAATTTCCAAGGAGAAAAAAGTTGTTTCTTGTGGGAAGGTTGTTGTTGAATTGAGTTAGATGATGTTAATTGTATCCAGGATATTTGAGGGATAAAAGTGGGTGGAAAAAGAGTATTAAATATTTTCAACTTTCTACTGTGGGTGAAATTATAATGTGGGGAAAAAAAATAAGACAACGGGATGGTTCTAGTAGCTCTCAATTGAGTAGATATGTGTGCATCTGTCTTTACAAATTATCGAATAATCGTTGGACTAGAAATAGTTCCAGATAGAGACATTTTTGCTCACCGCCCTAAACTATAGTATATGCTATCAGTACACTTAATCATATGTCCTTACATCTCACCCTAATTAACTTTCACACTAACTGTTACTTTTTCAATTTTGGAAAAAAAAAATAACTATAATTAAGTGAAATGACACATAACAGATAATTAGGTGTATGGTAAGCATACATCATAATTTATGATGGCGAGCAAAAATACTTCCATTTAATTAATCAATTTAAAACTAAACAAAAAAAATTGAAAAAAAAAAAATCAACCGTCATCATCGTCGCAAATTGTGAAGGCTCTACCCAAATTTGTCAAAAATTGATGATAAAGCGGAGGAAGAAGAATTGCATGGCCCCTCCAGTTCCCCAACACCCGCACCCAACCACGTCGCCGGTTACCCCCTCCCCTCTCCGTCTCCAATAACCATTTCCTAGGCACATTATTTCTGACGACGGGAAACTACGATTTACATCAAGATGTCGCCATAGCATCTCATATCAATGATTTCTCACGTGATTTTAATAAAAATTCAAAAACTTGTTCTAGACAAAAAGAAACGTTGGCAGTGCCAAATTTTTTCGAGTTCATACGATTTCTACTAGGTTCAATCGGTGAGGCGGTTCATCATGCACATAATGTACATGTCGACATCTGCCGAGACATACTGGCACAGCAAAGTCCTATTGAGCATCACATGCTGAGATCCTCCGAGCCCAAATAGTTTGACGTTACAGCCCAAATAAAAGAGTGTAAATGGCGTAAAGCCCATCCCAAACCAAACCAGTTAAAGTGAACTCTAACAAGTAACAACACAATCAAATTGATTGTATTGGCCATCATCTGGTCAATACAATCAATTTGAAGAGATCGATCACCAACCTATTCACTTGTTATGATTTAATTGATTTTACTTATAAAAGTCGCTTCGAGGTCAATTGTAACGGATGTTTATCATAGACCCGGTAAAATGTTTAAAACCGATTCTTACCATAAACCTATCAATATGAGGAAGAACTTCAACCCTCGTCGTGCAGTAGCAACATCGACATCCATGGGACCATGGGTGCACGTAAGTCTCTCATTGATAAGACCAAACCACCACATTTTCGAATAGAAACGAGGCGGCCTGAAGCATTGAAGAACAAAAACCAGTGAATTGAAAATGACGGCTTTATTCAATCTACAAGGATGATTACCAGAGCATTCTGTCCAATTTAAAAGCATTCGTTCTTCAAACCGAACCAGAAGTCCCAACTTCTTACCTAAACCCCAATAAAAATAAGAAAAATACCAACTGCCTAAAACCTCACAACTAAGAGGCATCCGAAAAACAAAAGCAAAGGCACGCAAGCATCGACATCATCCCTTTTGGTTCTCCCGACTCTGCTTAGGCCTCAGCAAACCTACAAAATTGCAGCAACAAATCGTATTCAAGGCCATTTCTGTGCTGAATAAAACATTAAAAGAAACCCAAAGTAATTGCAAATGATGTGGTATAAAAAAATTACCCGAGCTCAGAGAGCCTCATGTGAGCTTCAGCATAGTCAGCGAAGAAGGCATCTTCATCCTGAAAAACAAAAAGGTAAATTTAACAATCAGTTTCAGTCTTGTGCGTAATGGAAAAGCACGCAGAAAAAAAAAAAAAAAAAAAATTACTGAAGGCACGCACCGCAGCATATTTTTCCACAAGAGGGCGGAAGACAGGGTCATCCAGAAGAGCCTTGTCACTTGGAAGCATTAGAAGACCTTCCTGGTCTCCACCAAGAAGCACCCTACATAATCGAACACCATTCTACTTGACTTTTGTAGCTCAGTGCAACTAGACATTTGAGAAAAGACAGAAGAAAAACAGAACTCACGTGAAGTAGGAGTTGTCGAAGATAAGGGGGTTGGGAGTCCAAGGTCCTTCAAATCCAGATCGCTCCTTGTGGCACCTTCCCTGCAATATGCAATATAACCATTGAGTATACAGAAACCAGCATTGTACATGGACACATCAACAGGATATAAGTTACCAGGGTGTGACCACCGGAGAGAGCAACAATATCCTTGTCGCTGAGGCCCATGGTTTTGCTGAAGACATCCCTCAAATGATCAGAACCTACAGCGTTTCAACAGTAAATTTTAATTCAGTCAGGACATAACATCATCACCTACATACAGGAGAAGCATAAACCAAAACAATGAGATAAGGTCATGTCACATAATATATTTACCCTTGGTAGCATCAGGAAGACGGCCCTCTGGGGGTGGCTCGGGGGCATCCTGGCACAACAAGAGGTATATCAATACAACAAGATGATGAAACAAACAAAACATATACAATGCTTAAGTTAAAAACTCAACAAAATCACATAAGCAGCAAAACAAACACATCATTTTGAAGGAAAAAACAATCCAGCACAACCGTAAATAATTAAAACAGAGGCGACGAACATCTATCAGAAAACCTGAGGTCAATAATATAATGAGCAATTACTGGAAACGAGTACAATCCAGGACTAACAAAACAGATGAAAATTTTCTTTCTAAATCAAAATAATTCAAAATAAACGACTTTCGAATGCAATACAATCTTCCACCTCGAACACATTTGAGGAGTTGAATGCGAAGCACAACGATAACAAAATAATCAATTGACCAAATGAAAACACAAGAAAGATCGAATCATCCCAAACGATAATTCAAATACAGAGTAAAATTCAATTTATTCGTGGTAATTATATCTAAATATTCAAGGTAACTAAATCAAAATTACAAGCTTAACCAAATCTTTGGAAGAAAATCAAAGCTTACTGACCTTCCTTCCTGGGTGGAATGGGACATCAGGCCCACCAGTAATCTCAACAGCAACAACACCGGCCAACTACACCAAAATTAAAAACAAAAATTATAAAAATCAAATAAATCCCCATTAAAAATTAATATCTGGTTTATTGTTTCCAATCAAACAAATCCCAATTAAAATTTCATAGATAAGATTTTGTTAGCTGTTTATATTTGAATTACCTGGTAGAAGTCAGCGTAAGAGAGAATAGGGAACTGTTGCTTGATGGGCTCCAAGAGCCTGACGGCAATGTCGAGGCCATTGTTGGCCCCGTGAGCTTGCTCAGCCGGGCACCTCATGGTTCCGAACGGCCCTCCGGTCTTCGTCTTCGTATCGTAAGTTCCGGCCGAATGCCATCTGCACCCCACCACACACAATCAAATCTCACTCCCACACCAATCACGCGCAGAGCGAAGTACCTAGAGAGAGAAAGAGAGAGAGAGAGAGAGAGAGAGAGAGAGAGAGAGAGACGTACGCAATACGAAGCATGAGAGGAGCACAGTTCTTCTCGGCGATCAGACCTCTGAGCTTCCTCCTGGCCTTGTCGATAGCCGTCTTGTACTCTTCGCTCACGGTAGGGTAGCACTTCCCCATGGTCAAACGTCCTGCAAGACAGTCAACCCACCCGAAAAATGTCAGATCGGAATTCCATATCGGCCGATAAGCGAAAATCCGAAGCTCAACCGGCTCGATCGGAGCCGATTTTCCGGCTTATCGGCATTGGGAGAAAACAACAGAAATCGGACTCGGCAAACGGTGCCGTTTCGATCTTCGAGAGAGTACCTTCCAAGCTGGTTGTAGGTTGGTGAGAAAAATGTAAAACCCTAGCAGCGATGGAGAGTGAGTGGCACGGGGAAAGCACAAGCTCTGTGGCTGATATAGGCGGGCTGTGAGGAGGATAAGGTTCTCTTAGCCGTTGGATCTTTTCGTGCTCTTAGGGCTGGATTTGTCTTAAGGGTTTGGACGGTTGGGATTCGTTTGGACGGTTCGATATGCGGTGGCGATTGAGGAATTGGTGGCTGGTTTAAAGTAGACTCAGCCAGTCAAGGCCTGATTATTTTCAGAATTCCTGGATTGGCAAAAAGATCGGTGGGCCCGCCGAAAGTAATTTCTGAGGAATTGTACTAATTCTTAAATGACTAAAATACCCCTTTGTGCGTTCGTCGAACGTGGGAAGCTAATAATTGATTCTTCCTTTCAAAAAAATAATTGATTTGAAAACAACCTTTCTGTGCCGCCCATGGTTTTCATTTCTCGTAATATTATCTCAGATTCACAGGGAAAGAATCATTCTCAAACAAAAAAATATTCTCAAAGATTATAGACTTAATATCTAATAATGCTTCGTTGTATGACTTAGCTTAAATCTCGTTTTCTAATCTCGTTGTACAAAAAATATGTCTATGATTTTACAAAATTTCTTCTTAGCTCGACTTAAAAGGTAGGAAAACACGAACTATAGAAATGTAAATGTAATTAAAGAAGTATGTAGACAAACATAGGATTCCGAGCCTCATTTAGAAATAAAAAAAATTTATGTTATTTTTGTCACGTGACAGTATTGAGTAACGCAATAAACAACCAAATAAACATAGCACGTTTTTAAAATTATGGATAATTTTTAAATTATCGACATATTTAATACAATACTATTATTCAATCACTTAACTCTATCACATAACGATTATCTTCCTCAAACTTTACTATTTAAAAGCGGCTATATCGTAATATAATTGGCGTTACCAAAGTTTTTCGGTACAGCACACAAATTGCATGCCAAAAAAGCGCACATATGGAATAAAATAAAAATGTTTAGAAGGGGAAGGCAATGAGAATGGAAATTTGTTTAAAAAAATACGTTTCGGGAAGCAAAGAGTCGTGTGACGTGGGGTGCCCAAGCGTTGGCTACCACAGAAGGTTATTTTGGTCATTTGAAATGGTTCAGGTTCTACCGCAAGTGTGAACGCACTTCGCCTCGGAAGATTCCATTTGCATTTATGATAAAACCACCCAGCGCAAGAAAATGAATAAGTCACCCCCTTAATCTGATTAGCCGGAAGCAGTGCATGTCCTCGCCTTTATTGTTTTTCCTACCGAAACTATTCGTACCACGCTTCAAATCTGTTGGTTGGCGCGCTTGCCGACGACCAATAGAAAGGTGCCACGCGGTGAGCCCGATAGTTGGGTGACAAACCACCACGTGACAACAACCAGCATCGCACTAGTATGGCGCTTCACACGTTGGATTGGAATAAAGAGAATAAACAATTGAAGTCAAAACAATCACGAGCGGTAGCTATCTCAAGACTAAGAATGACAATTTTTTACACGATCAATTAGTCCGACATGAAAAATGCGAAAATAACAAATTTTGAATAATCTAACAAGTTGGGTTGTTATTGAATAATCTATTAACGTGACGGATCGTTATCAGACCACATATTAAGAGCTAAGTAAGATATCGTTTGTCAGATCTATACATTAAGCATCGCAACTTCTTGCATGACCTTTTAAATAAATACCCAACGATACGACCCATTAACAAATCGGTCATTATTGGATACCTATTAAAAACGCGTTATAATAATTGGTTTTAACGCGACATGACCCACTAAAATAACCTATATGATACGAAAACGACAAACATAATCCATTTACCAAGCCTAGTTGAACCTCATCAAGTTTTCGTTAGACTTTTACTATCGTTTCTATATTATTATTTACTTTTTATTTATAAGATAATTGATAAGCAAGTAACATGACTGTTTTTAGTGGGAAAAAGAAAATTAAAAAAAAAAAACAATGATTTGGATTCACACGATCCAAGCATATGAAGCATTTTCTTCTAATATGAAATGGAATATACCATTGTGTCAAATAGTACGGATTGTCACAAAAGCTAACTTAATGCGGACGCTGTCGCTGCGATCCTTTTCACATCAAATCAAATTTTAATCATTTTTTTTGTCTTAGTAAGTTAGAAACTTAAATTCAAATGTTGTGAATAGAAAATTTAATATTAATTCATTATTTTGTTTTTGAAATTAAGTAGAGGTAATGTGACAATCCGTTCCAAATTTTACGTTTTTATTTTATTTTAAAAGCGTAAATTTACAAAAATGCCCTAGAGGCAAAGATTTTGACTTACGTTGACAATCGTCTAGAGAGACGTATGACTTATTCTTTTAATATATTCTCGTAATACTTGTTAGTGTGAATGCATAAGCGAAAGCCGTTTGCGAGTCCGGATTATAACGGTATAATTATGGACGTTTGAGAATGGTTATTTAAAGTTTACTTATAAATTATTTGAATTCCCACCTTGTTGGAAAATGGTCAATCAGATTTTAGGCACAAATAGGAAGGACCAATCAAGTATAAGGTCAAGGAACCAATTAGAATTAGAGGGCGAGGGTGAGACCCAATCAGGAAAAAAAAAAAAAAAAAGGGAAAGCTACCCGTGCACCCGTGCCCAACCCTGTGTGACCACCCATTTTCCAAGGCCGATTCCGGCCAACTCCGATGGAGTTTTTCGACGCCACCACCACTATCTTGAAGCTCCCATTCCCCTCTACAAAACTCACCCAAGAACCACCTTGATTAACCATGGTATATGGTGGTTGGAGGCCACAAAAGAAGAGTCACTACACTACGATCACGACGGAATGTTATCCTCTTTTATGTAGTCGCTATAACTTGATATCTTCCTCGTGTATGTATTTACATACATATCTCTCTTTAATTTTGAGTATTCTACATTTAATTGATGATTTTAAATTTCGAGAACGAAATTTTCTTAAGGTGGGTACATTGTGACAACCAGTTTCAAATTTTACGTTTTTAATCTCGACCCATGGGGGATCACTTCCCGAGCCCGCTCCACCACCATAGCATGATATTGTCTGCTTTGGGCTTACCATTCCCTCACGGTTTTGTTTTTAGGAACTCACGAGCAACTTCCCATTGGATCACCCATCGTGGGATTGCTCTAGCCCCCTTCTCGCTTAACTTCGGAGTTCCGATGGAATCCGAAACCAGTAAGTTCCCAAAAGGCTTCGTGCTAGGTAAGGATGGGAATATACATTTAAGGATCACTCCTCTGGGCGATGTGGGATGTCACAGGTAATGTTAAGGAGATCAAAAATTTTAATTAAATTTTAAATCAAATAATTTATTATTAAATTTTAAACCAAATAATGTATTATTAATAAAAAAAAATAAACACGTTAATCAATACTTAAATAATAATCTAATCATCAATCATCACATCATCACATCATTTGGTTTTATAAATTTGATATTCCTAACATTACTCTTTAAATAAATCACTATATAAAAGAAAAATTGTTAACGAATTTATTTTACTATCCCCTTGACATCATTTTATTCTTACTTTGCTTTTTAAAATACAATATGCACCATTTCGTCACATGAAAATCTATTTTGTCTCATGTTGCCTAGTTTTATTAACTCCATTAAAAAAAAAAACGGTTGTTTTATTGACACTCCACATTTCTATGAAAATACCCCCATCCAAAATATTCCCCTAAAATTCTAACTTTGTCCCTCATTTTTCTGAATACACCCCCACCCTCATACAAAAGTCAACAAAAAACAATCCCAATTATACGGGCATTACCCCTGAATAATGTCATCGTTGACATCGGCACGACCGACAACTCCCATGCAGTTGATAACAACCTATCACCTCAACTCATCCAATTAGATAACCCTTCAGCCCCATCACCTCCGTCGTGGAAATTTGTCATCCAACACCCAAACTCGCCCACTTTTGCAGTGGAATAGTGGAGGATGTCGTTGTTTTCATAAGATTGTGGGGTGTTTTAGTTTAGTTCAAATAGGGGTAAAAGAGAAACTTCATGTGAAAAAATGAAAGTATGGGGTGCTTTAGTTTAGTTCAAATAGGGGTAAAAGAGAAACTTCATGTGAAAAAATGAAAGTATGGGGTGTTTTCTTAAGATTGTGGGGTGTTAATAAAAATTGTGTGTGATGTGAGTGCTTCAAATTGTTTTGATCTTTCCCAATTATCCTAGCCGGAACTTGTACGCAGCACTTATACGGAGGCGCATGCATAAAGGTTTGGAACTCTTGGATTTTACCTACCTGGCGATCTACTGCTAATGTCACTTCAGTGTAAGGCATGCCACATAGTATATTTTTCACAAGCGGATGTTGAAATTGTACACATCACTAGGCAAGTTTCAATCTTTTTTCGCTTCCATTTCAGGGATTTTCTAATTAATATTTTGTGTTGAAGTTTGATTGAACGTTATTTGGGTGTTTGATTATAGGATTTCTCAAGTTGGATTGCCACCTGGGTAATCATGAAAAAATGGATTTGGTTTCTGGTTACAAGGTGACTTCACCTCTCTTTTTCCAAAACTTAATTTTGAAGTTATCATTGCATATTTTTATGATGCAGTTTATTGCAAAATAATGTCAACTTTTCCTTTTTAGAAACAACTCGAGCTAGGAGCAAGTCTGGTGAATACCTAAGACCAACACTGACAATAAACTTTTTCCCTTCAGTTTACTATTACATTTTTTCTTACAAGTCTAATAGTGTTGAGAAGAATGTTTAATTTAGTTTATCTTTCATGTAATTACAAATTTGATATTTCTTTTTTCCTGCTTTTTTAATCTCATTTTTTTTTCTTTTGTCACACAAGATTTTTCAGTTATCATAGTCCGAATGAGCACCTAAGAGCAAGTCTCTCACGATAAACCTTTTCTTACCATTACTTCTTTTTCTTACAAAGTCTAATAATATTAAGAACAATGTTTAATTTAGTTTAAACTTCTTATTTTGATAATTTACTTTTCCACTACTTTCTCATAGTTGGAGTTGGTTTGATACCATTTGGGTTTTAAACATTCATATAAAAGTATCTTATTCTAGTCACCGAGTCATTGATCTTTTAAT